CTTGATTTGCAGACTTAGGAAATAAAATATTTTTATACTATATAACAGGATAAAGTAATACTGACTGCATAATGTAATTAAATGTTTTCGTGCAAACGAAAACCGATTCTTTTAACCTTCCGGCCAGACAATTAGCTTTATTTACCTTAAGTATGCAAAAGCGTCTTCGCTGAATTAGAGTAATTGAATTTCTATCTATTAATTACAATCAATGCAGAGTGTACTTTCATATTGTTCCCGCGCAGCTAACATTCAATTTGGCACTTGTGTGAAAATGATAATTGTTCAGATGTTTTCCAACGGTTTTTAAATATTTTCATGCTTTTTCCAGATATCTTCATCACGCAATAGTGTGAATAATAGTGTGAATAATAGTGTTATTTGCTTCTAAATGTGTCTTTCTACAGGTTTCCGTTTGTGCAAATTGACTAAATTGATAAGTTGGACTGTGCCTTCGATACATTTAATGAGGCATGATTCAATAAGAAACAAGAGCAAAATCTTGATTAAATATTTATCATTTCTGACTGACAGGCAGACAAGATGAAGGATCGTTCAATTATAATCCAAAATTTTCTGCTTCAGTTATATACTAATATTCCTATCTATCTAACGTAGCTAGGCTGCATATAATAGTAACACTTGGTAAAAATGTATGACATCGCTCACATGTATGGTAGAAATAGATGAAGGTGTCTGTGGATATTAAAATATTGAGTTATGATCAACTGTATTTTTCGATGTAGCTATATAGGGACTATGCACTACATGCAGGCAGGGCATTTGTGAGTCATGTCGTCTTCATTGATTATATTGGAGCCTACTGAGCCTAATATAATGAATTAAAGAAATTATTGTACGGAAGTCAGTAATGTTAACTGAAATTGAATCACTTTGGGAATGAGTTGAGGAAATTTAATGAAGGGATATAGAAGAAATTGTGTGATTTATATTTTATTATATCAATTATGTCAATGCCAATATCTCCTTGTTTAACTGATGGATATTAATGAATAAAATTGTAAAAATTGCAAGCGCAATAGCTTTATATCATTCATCTGTTGAGATTTTCCACTTTATCACCTAGCTATCTTTGAAAATGATACAAATCTGAACGATGGCTACGATCTTAATTTTAAAGTATATTGGTTAATTTGATGTATATAATATCTTGCTCTCTATATGTCGTATTTTCTCAACTTTCTTGACTCTGCTGGTTTCATTTTGTATACTTAATAGTTGTGCGTTGTTTGAACTGTAAATGATTTGAGATGTTTGATAATATTTTCTGTTTGCTGTTTTGTGCGTTCATTCTATTTTTGCAGATGATTTTGAATCTCATTTGGTTTGAAATATAAAATGCAAATTAAAAAGAGTGTCGGTATTTCTGATGACTGATTGCTTGGAGTCCTTCTTGATAAGACAACGCAAGGTGCTTACCGTCGATCTTAAATCGTGATAAGACACTAATTATTTATGAGAGCTAACCAAGGTTACTCATTAGAAAATTGCTTATTGTCGGCGATATGCAGAATATGTGCGCACGTTGTGAGAAAGTTGGATGAATATTATTGATTGATTTTAAGATAAAACTAGGGAAAATACAAGTGAAGAATGATTACCTTTAATGAGCGTTTTTTGTTAGTTTGTTGTTGCTTTATATAATTTGGAGCAAAAAATCATACTATTTAATACTTTTTCTATAAAGCCTTAACTTTTACTTTCACTTTTTAGTAAACTTTAACTTTCCAATATTTAGTTTATATATTGATTGAAAACGTATTGATTGAAAAGTATTCAGTTCTCGTGACGAACGAACATCAATAAAGACACCTAATAATGTAGGCGATTATATGAGATGCACAAAACATCGTTTATAGAATAAGCTGGTTCCATATGGACCACACGGTTCCACAACAACGTCTGTCAATATTATGCATGATCATGAAAACTTAATTTTTAAAGTATTTATTTTAAGTGTTTACTTTCTATTTGTACATTTGAATAGTGGGGCCACTTAGTCTTGAGTCTTCTTAAAATGTAAGAAGCATGCATATTGAAAAGAACGTATCTTGAAAATCTGTGTGCATGTTTTAATATATATAAGTACTGAGCAAGAGAGTAGTGATAACGATAGTCGCGTAGTCCTCAGTGGCGTAACTTTGTGCTAAAGGGGCCGGCCCAGCATAAACTGGAATAGGGCCCATGTCCTGCTCATATAAAATGGCGGCGGGGGAGGGAAGGACTACGTCAAAAAGATTCAAAATTTTCTGAAATACATCAACTTCGCCAATTTGTCACCCTTACTCAGGGCCCTTTTATTAATTCGGGTCCTGGCTTGAGCCAGGGGGCGCTCAAAGGAGTTACACCACTGGTAGTTCTTCATAAGCATGCAGTTTTGTCGCATTTTACTTTATCAGACTTTTTATTAAACATTGACTATAAGTTGCCGAACAGAATATCTCTTTCAAACAAACTTTAAAATTATCGTTGTATATGGCATGAACATGCATATGGAATGCCAGCCAAGGCAATTTAAAGTCAAATTTTATCAGTTTTCTAATAAATGGGGGAAATGACGTTACAAGGATCTGTCTGGAAACGCTCTAAAGTAAACATTGTTTAATAAATGACAAAATTAGCCTCCTCGACTTCTTGACAAAAACAGAAAAATGAAACGATAGCAAGAAGATAGAAAAAACTAAAAAATAATGATTTCAGTAATATCTCTCTCTTCAGAAAATCTTACTGAATAATTTGTTACAAAAGCACTCAGCCATGGAAGTGTTTACTGCACTATGTCAACAAAATATGCTCAAGATGAAAAGCTGGTCACATACTTTATGCAAACTCTTAGAGAAATGCTTGCATTTTACCCAGCAAGATACAATAAGAAAATTAATGTTTTCTTTCTCTTTCAATGCAGCTAATTAGTCTCTTGTTAACGTCTATGCAAAGGTGGAAACATATTTCTAACTTAAGAGTAAAGTTTCCGCCGTGCATATTCTATAATTGTTCTTTAGACGTTGTATTTCCTTAATTTGTTTTACGAAGTTTCTATAGGTCGGGAAATAAAAGTTGAACTGAGAATTATCACACTACAAACGGTGCATATAGATCAGGTGTTTCTGATGGGAGTGAACCCGTATTTATAAAGCTTAATTACTATCTTTAGGACATTTCGTATGTTTTCATGCAAATTTTGCGGCGGCAAAGAAGCTGCCAGAAGCCTGAAATACATAAACATGAATAACTGTCATCTCAAGAAAATACAATTAGGAAATTACTTGTCCAAATTACTCGGCAAAATCTCACACGGTTTGTGGTGGTTGTGCATTAGGAATGAATAGCAAGACTTTTCAATTACATTTATTATTAACGCGGCGAGATTTTAAGATACAATGTTAGAAATTTAGCTTTTCTTACAAATTATTTTTTTAATCCTACTGGCCTGAATCAGGATTTTTCCATCAAGCATGCAGCAAAAATTACAAAGTAGTATAGATCTACAGGTGCATACAAAACGTTCTTCCGGCAAAGATTAGAGAGGAGATGTCGATCTCAAAAACATTTGAAAATTGTCCATGAGACATTTGAAGTAAGACAGTTGGTTCATTTTCAATTTAAAATGTTCCAGTGTAGGTAGACGTGAACAATCAACTTGAGCGATTACAGAGTCAAACTACCTGAACAAATATAACTTCGACATTGCGCCTTAATTCCAAAATGATCAGACAGAAATTATAAGCCGGAAAACTAGAATTTTCATCGTGTTGTTGGGACATGAATACGTTTTTCCTAGTAGAGGTTGTCAGTGGTCTAACATCGTTACGAATTATTTTGTATCCTTTCCCTATTCATTCTAAAGCCGTTAAGGCCGATCTACACAACTTTTGCCTAAAACAGTAACATACAACCTGCTTACAACTTGAGTTGTACTGTGTAAATCAAACACACAACTCACGTGCGTTGTCGTAGGCAAAAGTTGTGTAGTGTCGGCCTTTAGAAGAAATCATATTGGTTGAAATTTTGATTATAATCATGATTCTATACAATTTATAAACTGACATTGAATAATTCTGATGGTTGTACTTTGCCTACGACAAGTATAACGGATTTCTTCACTTCAATATCATATAGTTTATGCATGCATGCATGCTTTGGCTAATTATCTTGCTAAAATTTCACCTTTCACCCCAATTGTGCACAAAAGAATGAAATTTTCAAGTCAACAGATAAGAAGTATTTATTTTAAGTAGGTTTTGTTCCTCAAATGTTTTGTTCTTCAAGGAGTCAATTATGAACGATGACCTTGGAAATACCTTGGAAACAAAATGGAACAATGTCTCATGTCCTTGATTCTTGAAAGCAATTTTGCGTGTATATAACATATAGTTTATATTAACAATTGCTCAGCCTAAATAGTCAAGTTATTTTCACTTGTGTGTTCAGTGTAAACGTGAACGAAAAGCCATTTTAAGCACTTTTAAACAAGTACTTTTGTACACAACATACTCCAGTGTGAGATTGCCGATATCGATTGACCGACACTGCCTTGGCACAGTGCCTTGTTACATGATAAGCTGATGCGTTTAATTCGCATGTACACTTATTTCCTTTCATGTGTTCTAGAAAATATTGATGAACCAAAAGCCACTTGTTTTTTCGCTACCAAATAAAACAGGTTTTATTATAAATAAATAAAATAGCACTTTTCACGGAGTCGCAAATTTTGTTGTGTCTTTTTATATTTCATTTTGAAGAATGAAAAGCGTAAAATTAAATCGAAAAATTAATTTGTGGAATGAATAATATCGTATGTCCGTTGATAATGCTGTGTATATTATAGCCGAAGTAAATGTAATTACGGACATTTTAATTTCAGAATGTCATCATAGTATAGCATCTTTTGAAAGATGCCTTGTGTCCTCGCAACATGCGGTCGACTGGTGGCTTAATTGGGAAGTTTTATTTGGAAAATACAACGAAAGACACAATGTGTTTAAAACAATTTTATTTATTTAAGATATCCTAAATTTTTCCGTAGACTGCTAGTCCAAATCTACGATATATATACACTTATGTATACTATTCTCTATAGCCCCAATGTCAACTCATTTGCAAACAGACGCTCGGATTATTGTATTACTATTAACGTGCAAAATTTGGGCTTTCTCAAATTAATTTACAAATGTCGGTAAAAATTTTTGAAATATATTAAAATATAAGTTACACTTTCTTGCTATATATTAATTCACTCTATAATTCAGTAATATTAACAATACATGGATCGTTGTTTTGCTTGAATGTCTTTGACTCACAATTCATTTGCCTTGCATGCCAAGGCGTCACTCATGCACAGATGTTCAATAATCATTCTCTACAACCCAGGTGAAAAACAAAGCCATGAAAGTTATAATGTTTTGGCAAAGCATACGCAGAAATTGTTGACGAAAAATTTAGATACGAGAATGGACAGGGGCTATTTAACTAGCGAAACAATCGAGCTGGTCGATATTGAATAAGCATCGAATACGACTATATCAGAGCTTGATAATATTTTCATCGCGATAACATCAGGCAAGCGCTGTTAGTTCATCTAATTATCACTCCAATTTTCTTTTCAACTATTTGTTTTGTGTTGCAAACTTCTTTTCATAATTTTAACCTTGCCTAAACAATATTGGGCTTAATTTCCCATTTCTCAATTTTAAACTTAGATTACCAAAAGCTTAGTGCTGTAATTCAGGGCTTTGCTATAACTGCTGGAGTTTCAGTGTAATACTTTTTCGAATTCCCCCAGACTCCCGCACTCTGCGAGTTATTGGAACTTGTGTGTGTGTGTGTTTTTGAAGTCAATGAACCGAGAATTTCATTCTTTTCTTTTTCTGTCTTTGGTTACAAAACCAAACACGTACAACGTTTTTCGATAAATCAAGTTTGTCTGCAATAGACGAAATTTTATCACTCGATGGCCTTGCATTCATTGCAAAGTAAGCTTCAAGAGATCTTTTCTCTGCCGCTCCGATTGATGTTCGTTTACGTTTTTTCTCCGAGTTTGGCAGAAACTCGCTTTTATAGTTCTTACTTCGATATGCTTTCTCCGCTTCTTCTAACCAAGCGGTAAGGACAGGTTTTAACGCCATCATGTTATTGTGACTCAGAGTAAGAGATTCAAAGCGACATATAGTTGACTGGCTGAGAGAGCCAACACCAGGGATCTTTAAGTTGGCCAATGCCGCTCCCACATCAGCTTGTGTTACGCCGAGTTTTATGCGACGTTGTTTGAAACGTTCTGCAAACCATTCCAGCTCCCTCGGGTTCATATCTTCTGTCTGAGGACTCATGGCTGCATGTAGAACATGATGGGAGGGTTGGGGTTGCAGTGAACCCACTGGAGAGGGGTTATTTTCAAATGCTTTCTCGAATGATTTTTCAAAGTTTTCTGAGACTGAAGGTTGTAGTGATGCTGAGATCTGATCCAGAATGTCGTGAGGGTCATATTGATTTGCATCTTGTCCGTGACTGGAATGTAAGCCATGAATACCGATATAGCTGCTTGCTTTCGATACTGCTGGGTTCTTCGTCAGATATTTCGCTGGATCTAACGATTGCGAAGCACCCAGGAGATGAGAATCATCAAACGTATCGAAAACATTCGAAGGAATCTATAAGAATGAAACTCAATTGAGTGAAGTACTTCAAACAAGTATTTTCTGACATGACAAAGTACACTGACAAATAAGCAGTATATATGTATTTATAATAAAACTTACTTACCAAACTTTGCGATCGTGACGAGAACGTGAGCTGCAAATATAAAACGTTAATGTTAGATAAAGGCGGGAATGAATAACGTACGATATATGAATAATATTACACAGTACAGACGAATATATATTACCGAGTTTGATCCTCGATACGACGGGATCCAAGTTGCTTCATTCACGCTTTGTGAAGCGGTTAACGCCGCTGCATTCGAATATGAAATACCGTTCGAGCTTGAAACTCGTCCAAGTGATGGACTAAAGTTTTTATTGAGCAGAGTTTCCCGGTTCATCTCGTACTGCAGTCAGAGAGATGTGAAGCGTACTCTCATGACGTGCATAATGTTCCTAAATGCAAGCGAACCGCTCATAAAGAAAGGGACAATCATTATCATTGTGTTAACAATATTTCAACTGCACCTGTTCACCTGCCTCTACGCATGCGTGCCACACATCAAGCGCATGCGCGAAGAGCAGGTGAAACAAGGAGTGAAATAATGTTAGTCCCTTGCTGACATCGAGCTCACCACACGACCAAATCGATAAACATCTGCTAGCTTAGTCAACAAAATATAATCACTAGAAATATTTTATAGACCTACCTTTCCAATTTTGTACATTTTTGTGATACTAGTTACTTTACAAATTGTGACCTTAAATTAGTTTTTAAATGACATGTAAGATAAATGGTCTGAGTTAAGATGCTTTCAGTCACTGCGTGAATGCGTATTTCTTGAGTGAGTAAATACTTCCTCCAGCTTAATTTCTACACACGATGGACAGTATATTGAAGTCTGCAACAATTATAGATCAAATTGAAATTCATTAACAAAATTTCAAAGGGAAATTTTCCAGACCAATGAGCGGGAAGGGAAAACAATGCTCGTATGTTTGGATTGTAACAATTAACATGCGACACGGGCCTACACGTGTTCTCAACAACATCTTACAAAGAAACAAAACAAGTAAAATATCATCACTTCGGATCCTTCTTTCAAACCCTAACGAATTCGGGAAGATGTTTAAATTGGGATTAATATTCGGCTACTTTGCAAGGCTGATATATGATAATTTTCACTGACTTGGATAAACTCGTAAAATTTATTACAGTCTGTTGTCGTAACGGTTTTCATTGAGTCGGCGTCGTGGGCGATATTAAGTCAAGATGAGGGTTTTATGAATATCGGCTATATATGATAGTTTCATCCCAGACCTTCAATTTTAATGACTATAGGCAGTTTTAAACTCACATCGTGAGTCATATACATATATAAAAACTATTATCAAGCATTGAAGTATGGGTTAGACTAAAAATTTGGAACAAACAGATGATAATTCCTCAGGTTTTAACATTCAATTTGTATTTAAATTGCTATGCGTCTCGCACGAGCGGCAGTGAAGCAAATTAATTACTTTTTTGGAGTGGCTTGGTACAAAACAATGTGCGTTGTATATCCTGTAGTTCAATTTAGTCATTGATAGTTTCATATTCATAGATATTAAAGCACAGTAGCGGGATTGCCATGCTATATTATCCAATATTAGCGATTGGAAATGAACTAGAAGTCTGTAATGCAGTCTGTACTATAGTAGTGTCCTAGGTAAGATATAAGGACTCAGAGCCAAAGCACGAATTTTATTTTCTCAAAATTGTAATGTTTGACGATCTTATACATTAAGTCATTATCAAAATGAAGAAATATTAAAAAGCGCCGATTATCTAAGTTGGTTTTCGTTCAATATTTGCAGAAATCGTTTCCTTTGTGTGCGACAAATTCCGCCAAATAGTTTACTTCGTATACTCAACATAGGGTGAGGAATATTTACTCGACTTTCTAGTTTTTAATGGCATAGCACTTATATAAAGTACATCATATTGATATTACTCGATAATGGTGACTCGAAGTTACTTTATTATCGCTGTGGCAAACGACATTCCTTTAAGAGACACACATGACTAACCTTAATTTGTGGTTTCAGTGTCCAAAATAGAAAATTCAAATTTACAACACAATATTCGCGGCGTCCTCATTTTTGTCCGTCGGTTCCCTCACATGAAACCACAGAACCACAGAGTTGAAGAATTATCACCGTTATTGCGTATCTGCGTTATAGCCAGGAACCCTGAATGAGATCGATTTGTTCATGTTGCTTGTAATATAGAGAAAGCTTATCAAGAATTAATACGGCATTAAATATGAACGAGAATGTTGCCAAACATAGCCCAACGATGGAATTTTCTCTTCAAATATGCATGCCTATATGTATCAGGGGAAATTAAATACTTTTAGAAAAGGATATAGAAACAGAATCTACAGTATATAGGGACATCATAGATATAACTGTGAAAAAGTTTCAACTAATTTTGTAACCAGAAACGTTTTAATGCTTATTTTACCGCAGAAAATCTATACATTTCTATGCATATAGAAATATGCAAGACATTATTTATTTATCTGCTATCTTGTCGGTTATGCAAAAATAGAACAAAGAAACCACACACTTCCCGTGTGCCTGGAAAAGATAAACATAAAGCGTCAATGGCGATTTTCTTGCATAATATTATGATCTACACTGCGATAGCTGCATGCACATGACGGATTATACAAGCTGAGCCTTAGGCCGTTAGAGCATCTTTTTGTAACATATATTACTTCTTCGGATCGAGACTTAGCCCAGCTGAAATTGAGACTATAACTGTTGCACAGGCCAATATATATGTTATAAAATCCATTATGTTTCTATATAATAGACAAAAATATTTATGTCATATAATTGCTCGTCTTTCTTTAATACATATAAAGCAATATATCTGTTTTGCGTGCCACTACTACCTCCATGAGAAAAAATTTTAGGCTTTCATATTTTATTTTCCTCAGTTCGCGATGCAAATTGTAAGGCGAGTTTTGTAATCATGAATTTCAATGATAAATATTGCTTGTGTATAAGATTAATAACATGAAGCGAACAATCTATTAATGTCTCCGAAAATAAATGTATGTTGAAACGAGGCAAATATCAATGTGTGTTTTAATGTTACTATATTTTAATTATCTTTCAGGCAGCAGAGTTGAAGCAATATGTCCAAATCAATTTTGTGATCCACCTGGCATCTTCTTCAAGACCTTTGCCATGGCCAATGCCGTCTCCATGCATATGCCATAATAAGTTTCATTATATAGTCCCGCGCGCTCAAATGTTCTTATCTCGCGCGTTTGCCATAGCCTAGGAATATATTTGTGTCATCCCACGCTACTTCTTGAAATTCCGACACTTTTCTTCCTTGCATGTTTCCAACGTTCGCGTTATTCCGCGTTCCGCAAAACCTATATATATGTATATATGCACGATTATAAAGGCCTTTAATATCTCAAAGAAGCTGAATACAGCCAAATATTTAAACTGTTTGCCCGTTCGTAAGATTTAAATCAAGCGCTGCAGAATCTGATACATATAACACAGAGACCCATGCAACGTGTACTCTCAGGTGCATGAACTCATTAATATTTTTTGCCAGGCGAATTAAGTCGCTTTCGCATTTTCCAACTTTCTATTAAGCAAATGGATTGTCCCATAGTGCTATTATTGAAATAACTTCAAATTTGAATAAAAAATATTTTAGAAGTTTCGCCTTGATCTTTGACTATGTAGTATGTTTATCAAACTATAATTCTTATTCCTGTTTCAAATGTTGACTATTTTTCCTTACATAATTTTTACTATATGCTTTTACAGAATGCGTCTGAGTGCGGCAGTAGTTTTGGCCGGGCACCAGCGAGGCAAAGCAGGTGCAGTAATTAGGAATTGTATAGCCAACATGCAGGTTTAGTTTTTGTTTAAAATACAAAACACCACTCCTTTGTCTTCAAACACACATCTTGCTTTGCCAGTGATCGTTATTATTTGTACACAATTAATTTTCTCTCGATATCATTTGTATATAAATGATTTTTATGATAAAACTTTGCCAACATCAACATTTTATTGTGAGTATATATATATATATATATATATATATATATATATATATATATATATATATATATATATATATATATATATATATATATATATATATATATAGTTGCTGGGTTCATTAACTGGCAATAAAGCTGATGAAACAAACAAAATAACTATGAGATAAATTTATTGAGATATTGTATAGAAACTCTGTGACAATATATAAATAAATATTGATCTACATTATGATAATGTAACCCTTTCAAGTGTTTGAAACAAAGTCAATAACGGGCCATAAAGACTTCTTTGTATTGCAGCAGTGACTGCAGCTTTATCATAAATTATGTGGGTACCTGAAAAACTTTTTGAATTTCTAATGATCCAACCTCAGTATCCTGGGGCCGGTTGTATAAAACTTTTAATCACTTTTTTAATCACTATTTTGTAGTTAAACAGTGATTAACTCTCAAATACGCGCTTCTTATTGGATGACATTTCCACTAACTATAGTTAACTTTAATCACTTTTTTATACAACCGGCCCCAGGTCCATAGACCTCTTTACTCCAGTAACACTTCGTTGAAATAAATTTTTAGATTTAAATACTAGAACTCTTCTCCAGTTTAAAAACAATGGTACTACTAATTACTAAAACATCCATGGACTTTATTTCATGTTCAATCTGTTACTCACTACGTCTTAATTTGCCCTGGACAACAACAACAAAGAATGATAATTGTCCTCGCATCTTACTTGCTCCAATGGCCTCGTTTTCATGTGACTATTTCCTCACGTTTCGTGCACAGTGGGGTGAAGGATAGGTTTGTGATTGGACTCAAGATCAAAGAGAAACATATTCGTGCAGGTGAAGGATAGGTTTGTGATTGGACTCAAAGATCAAAGAGAAACATATTCGTGCAGGTGAAGGATAGGTTTGTGATTGGACTCAAAGATCAAAGAGAAACATATTCGTGCAGCAAACATGTGGATATAACCTTCATGTGTTCCTGGCATGCTAAAACGAAGCCATTGAGGCAAAAATGCTAATAAACAATAATCTTAGACCCCGTTCACACGATACCGGCATGGAATTCTGCCGGCAGAAAATCATCACGGTTTCAACTGTTCATACGATACCGGCAGATTATATTCCGCTTTGACAATATGCTGCACAAATCAGTTAAAATAGACAGTATACAAATAATGAATGTTTGTGAGTGCAATGGTAAGAATATTTTCATGAGGTGAAAGATGGAATGTTCCATTCAACGAGGCGACAGCCGAGTTGAATGGAACATTCCATCTTTCACCGAATGAAAATATTCTTACCATTGCACGAATAAAAACATTCATTATTTGTTTTATATAATACCAAAATAGACTAATATTAAAAGGTTTATTGTAAGCTCCCGCCATTTTGAGAGTCCTATTTGCATTAAATCCCATTTACTAAGTTTCGAATATCGGGTTAAAATAAACTGCGATCACCGTACGAGAAGCATTTTGACGGATGCGATTTATCGAAAGCACAGAGAGTGCAATGGAACAAAACGTATAGTACAATTGCACTCGCAAGAGTGCAATGGAACGTATTCCATTGCACTCTTGGGAAATGGAATTTTCTATTCAGTATCACGTGACCGTAAACAGCCAATTAAACGATCAGAATTCAATAAGGTATTATATAAAATATATTATACAATAACGTTGAGAATTCAAGCGCTTTCATTGATCGAGAGCCATGATCTATTAGAGGACAGACGGCACGGAATTACGTCACAATTAAGGCAGCCAATAGCATTCCCTTATTTGTATAAATCGAAAGGAACCTGGATTCGGTGAAACAGCGTTTTTCATTACGATCGCATTTTCCCACTGACAGAAGCGACCTAATCATGCCAAGTGGGTTACTGTGGCTGTCAAGAATGATGAGAGTAGTTGATTCATTTTAGACTAGAACAACTTCAAGACTGCGTCCTGACACATGTAACTGAACCGTTAAAAGCCTTCAATGGCCAAGGAGAGACCACAATGCACTGTGAATCCAAGATGGCGTCTTCAGTCTCGAAAGGTCGTGTGTAGTCGTGTGATAGTAGTTGAAGAGAAGCAAATGATATTTTGAATATAAGTTTATTCTACAATTTAAAACAAATTAAATACAACAGAACTATTAAAACGGAAAATGAACCATATTACAGTTAAATATAAGCCTAACTTTCTTTAATAAAATGTTTCAAATAAATTAGAACATACTGCGAGCACGCAAACAAACATAATTTATAAAATTAACGATTCCTCTAACGAACATGACAGTTCCATATTTTATATAAACCTTGTGCCCATCTCTCTAGTGCTGACAGCCATATTTAATTACGAGCTATAGCTAATGTAAATAGTCTATTTTACATAATATTGTTTCTTCTATTTCTTCGAGATATCCTGGGAGGGGAAAGTTTCCTTTTTTAAGTCCGGAGCATGCAAAAACTGTGCATATATGTTCCTTTATTATATAGTTGAGAGTAAGATACTGAAAA